CGGTACTTGCTGACATTTATATGCACTATTTTGAGATGAAATTATTTGATAAATTATCTTTTCGTCTTTGGATTCGGTATGTTGACGACACTTTCGCACTTTTTGACGGTTATAAAGAGGATTTATCCGAGATTCTATCTATTATGAATTCAATTGATCCAGCCATCCAATTCACTCTTGAAATTGAATCCAACAATTCCCTCCCCTTCCTCGATATTCTTATAATCCGCAATGAAACCGATTTTAGCACCACTGTGTACCGTAAACCCTTTGCAGTTTGTTTACCACCCCATGCCAAGTCATGCCACCCTGTTAAGCAAAAAATGGCTTCTTTTTACTATTATGTTTTCCGCGCGCTAAAAGTTTGTTCCTCTGAATCTTTGCTTACCAATGAACTTAATTATTTGAGAGCAGTTGCGATTGACCGTGGATTTTCTCCCGTGATTATTGATAAAGCCGTCAAAAAATTTTCAGATTCCCATCAAAGAAGACATTCCACTGTTAGAAATAATATCAATGACCTTGTCGTGCTTCCATTTTATCCTTCTGTTAGCTATAAAATTGCACGGATTCTCCAGAAATTCAATTTTCAAGTCGGTTTCTCCCCTATTAATAAAATTCACCCTTCGATTCTAAAAGATTGCGTTTCTGTCTTGAATTCTTGGGGAATTTATACGTATCATGTCAGTGTGGTTTAAGATATATTGGCCAAACAAAAAGAGCGTTGAAGTTTCGTATCAAGGAACATGAATCTTATGTCAAAAAAGGGGAAATTAACAAGTCTTCAATAGCGTATCATAGCTGGACTTTTAACCATAATTTTGATTTTGGGTCTGCAAAAATCATCCAAAAGGCTTCTTCCATAGGCGAATTGGATTTTCTTGAGGCTTTTCACATTCACAAAGATTTAGAAAGTTTAGTTAATGATTTGAAGTCCAATCCAGTCCTTCCTAATGCCTTTAAAATTCTACTGTCTTAATTCAATTATTTTTGCCGATAGATGGCGTTACCTCCTCGCACTTGGTACTACCAGAGGGTATAAAAATCCGTTCAGTGGTTGCTTTCCATTATTTGAAGTTCAGATTTTGAGCGTGATGTGCATTTGCCCCTCGCTCCCTATTTTAACTTCGCTAATATTTCTTTATGCTTGATCAGACAGCCTGGCTCAGTAAAAGTAGGCGGCCAGTGCAACTCTGATTAAATCTAGTTATAACCACGTGCAGTGCTGATAAGCACCATGTGTTTCTGTGATTCCTATTTTCTTCTTTCTATGTATTTCTTTCTCCTGATGAGGAGGGACCTTTAGCTGCCCTCGAAATCGAGTGAGTGTTTCATTATACCTACGCTAAATATAAGGTTGTTTTTACGATTTTGATTTGTCACATTAGCGTGTTTCTCTTCTAGTCTAGATAAGCACTTTCTTTGAGGTTAACCATTTTAATTTCAGTTTCACATTTTTTCAAGACTCAGTCCTAAACAAGACGCTATTTTCGTCAAAATAGCTACACCAATCACCTTCTCTCTCGCCCTTCTTAAATATAAGTTTTCACCCCTTTGGCCATTGCTTACCATTAGCTGTTGCTTCTTTTTACATCAGTTTCTCCTTCTATGAAGTTTCACCGTATTGGAGAAATTTGGCTGTTTTGCTTTTCTGGTAACACTCTTTGAGAATACTTCTTTTTACAACAACCCTTAGCAGTCATTTTGATCATTTTTATGTTGAACAGACTACAGCTCTGGACATAAGCATTTTTCGTCTTTTTTATTTTCTTCTTTGATCTTTACAAGACCCCTTTCGGTACGCTGTATTCTGTTTCTTTTGATTCTTCTCATGAAAAAGTTTATAATTTTTCTAACTAAAGGGACATCCCTTAAAATTATGTAATTTTTGGTCTAATAGCTTTATAGCTATTTATTTTAATTGTACATTTGCCTAACTAGGCTTTCTTGTATAGCTTTTACTTGATTAATAATCACTTACATTTACAATTTAAGTTACTACACGTCCATTGCTTTTTAGCTAGTATATTTTCATTGTACATTTGCCATACTAGGCTTTCTTGTTTATTTGTAAGTTTTACATTTTCAATTTAAATTACCATGCGTCGAGCGATATAATTGAGACTTGCTAAACTTTTTTACATTATTGAGTTGGATTTTTCTGTTAGTGAAGTTTTTTATAATCTCAATTATTATCATTTGATGAAACATGCAATACGTATTAACTTAATTCGAGTTTTGAGCTGCTTTTCCCTTGATAAATCTGGCTCAAACCTCGAGTTGAGCTATTTACCATTTATTGCATATTTTTGTACATATTTACTGTGTATTTGAAATGTAATTAATTTTTAAAGAGTTTTTTAAAATTCTTTGTACAAGAAAATTTTCATAATTTTTTTATCACCCTTTCTGATTTTGAAGTCATCTCGATTTGTAATTTTTACCTTTAGTTTTTATGAGATAGATAGCCTTTACTACTTTAATATTGTTTCTGATTGTAACATGATTTTACATTTTTGCTAAGGAACTATAGTGTCAAATGTATTTTTTAGCATTAACTTTTTAACATTCCTCTTACTTATTAAATGAAAACATTTTTGCAGCTCAATGCGCAAAATTCTTGACCACTAAGGTCTCTCTAATTCAAGTTTTCTTGCTATTTTCCTATATGTATATATATACTTTTATATAATATATACATATTATATAAAAGTATTAAGTAGATATAAAGTTGCTTATAAGAACTAATATAAATAAGAACTAATTATAAGCTGTTAATCAAATATAAACAAAAAACAAGTTTTATATGTTTCTGTTGTGAAATGATTTTGTATAATTTAAAACAAGATGAAATAAATTGTGAATCAACTGTAACCAGTCAGCTAAATCAGATTTGTTTATGGATTCTGGTAGATATTAATTCTAGAAAGAAAAAAATATTTTTATAAGATATATTGCATACTTTTTATGATAAAAAGCAACTTTTTTTTATTAAAATAAAATTTTAACATATAAGTTTTTTATATCATTACCTGTTATCATAAACATTAATGTTTAAATTTTCTAAATGTTTAAATTAAATTAGAAATGTACAGTTTTCACAGTTTGTTTAAATTAAATTAGAAATGTACAGTTCTGTACCAGTGATGTGTAACATTTAAAAAATTTAAGTGAACTATTTTCTAATTACATATTAAATTAAAAAAATCTATTTAAATTTTCTATGGTTTAAAATTCTATTTCTGTGGTTGAAAATTTGAATCTTAATTAATATCTATTTTAATTTTGGAAACATACGTTTCCTGGAAATTTGCAAAACTGTTTAGAGCTTTCTGAATAGTGTTGATTAGTTTTATAGATTAAAAATTAGTTTGAAGGTTTATTGTAGCATTTTTTTCTATTTATCATATGAGGTTAGATTTTTGAGTATTTGATAATGAATGTTTTGTTAGGAAATGCTTATCAATATGTTTATCAATCTTTCAGTTTTTAAAATTCCTAATTCCTGTAAAGGCAAATATGCACAGCTTCACCTAAATGCACATTTGATTTCTTCTGTATCATAGCTATTTTTCATCATTTGATAATATGAGTAAAAACTTGACAAATTGCATTGCCCAAATTTTAAGAAATTTATTGTGTAATTTATTTTTTTAATTGAAAGGAATAAAAAATGCTGAGGAAAATTTCTTCCATTTGATTTGTTTCTGGAATCAGACTTAGAGTTCCAAAGAAGTTCATATGAACAAAAGCTAAATATGCATAAGCTTTTATGAAACTTTTAGAATAATAAATAAATCTAAGTGTGAATATTCAGCTAAAAATATAGCTTTATGGTGGAAAGACTTTTATGCATATTCAGGAATTTAATGATTTTTTAAACTAAGAAGAGCAAAAAGTAAAGAAATTTTTTCTTCTTACCACTTGTCGTTCAGGAATGGTAAGATTTAAAAAAATTTATTTGGGTATTATGCAAATAAAATATAGCTTAGCAAACTATGGTGTTATTTATTTTAAAGAAATTAAGCTATTAAGTTTATATGCATTTTATGTTAGTAAATAACAGTATGAACTAACAAAAATATGGGCAGATTAGTCTATCCTTTAAGGTAATCTCTTAGACAGTAGGAGTAAATTTGGGTTTCTTGTAAATTAGGCATAATTTCAGATCCATTGAAACATGGGCTACATACACAGATATCTTCTTCACTTTGGTAATAAGAATAACTATTTATTTATAACAATGGAATATAATTGTTAATACTGAAATAGTGATCCATGTTTAATCAAAATTGTTTTTTTAATACTTTTATTGATGTGAGCAACACTAATTATGGTATTAATAATAATCTGTTTTCTCTAAGTTAACAAGCATAATTTAGCTTATGGATTTTTGGTTACATTCCATACCAATAAAGGCAACAATTTTTTTTTAACATAGAGGCATTTAACTATGCCATCTAATTATAATAGTATATGCATATCTTTCAGGATTTTATGTACTATTCTCTGTCCATAATATTGAATTATTAATTAATCCTTCAAGCAAAATTTATCTTTAAAAATTTCTGTAATGAATTAGAGTAGAAAAATATCAAGAAAAGCCCTTACATGAGCATTACTTTAGAAGATCATTATGAGTTTATGGAATTAACACAGTTATTACACACATCATTGTTCTTTGCAGTATACACTGGCTGTATTATCATTCAAGTTAAAGAAGGACTGACATATAACAAGCAGGAATTAGAGTATCCTAATTCAGTTATGTTCTGCTCCTGTGGTAAAAATTTATAAGGTTGCTTCTAAGACTGCATGTGGCAAATATAAAATCAGTTATTCTGATATTGCTGAGATAATATATTTCATTTTGTTTATTAAAAATGGTATCCAAATATGTCATTGAAAAGTAAAGTTAAAACATGTATGAAAATAAATTATTAAATGTTTAATTTTTATATATTTAATTCCTCCCTTTTTGTATATTTTTGTTTTAACAGTTATATAGGGAGCTAAGAGTTCTTGGAGAATTAGAGAATACATATATTTTCTATACTTCAGATCATGGGTACCATTTGGGACAGTTTGGACTAGTAAAGGGAAAATCAATGCCTTTTGAATTTGATGTAAGGGTACCATTTTTTGTTCGTGGTCCAAAAGTTCCCCGTGGAGCAAGGTAAGAGTCCCTGTTAGGTAATTTGCTTTGATTCATTATTAAAAAAATAAATAAAAGGAAAATGAACTAAAGCATTTCATTTTTGATATTCTGATGTTGTTTTTATGATAAAATTGTTGTAAGTATTTAATGTAATGTGAAATATTATTATTTTGCTGAGTAATCTTTTGTCTTTCTTTCCTTTTCTCCCAGGATGCAAGATATTGTTTTAAATATTGATTTAGCTCCAACATTTCTTGACATTGCTGGTGTTGAAATTCCTGATCATATGGATGGACGTTCAGTTTTATCACTTTTAAAAGATGTTGATGCTTGGGCAAGGTATAAACAAGCATATGTTTCAAATTAATCTATAATATAGAATGAAATGAGTAACTGGTATTAGGAGTGTTTAAAACTTTATTTAGCATTGTGGAAGTAATACATAATATTTGCATACTAAATGTCAGATATTGATTATATCCATTGTCTGACATAAATATGTCGTGCATTGAAGAGCTTGGTGTAAAATTTATATACTCTGTCTAAACTTTATGTACTTTGTGTGATATTTATTGACTTTTTATTCTGAAATTCATTTGTAAGAGCAAAAATATTTGATTCTTTATATTTATTACTTAATGTTCATGTATTTTTAAAAATTTTCTCTTGTGTATCACATAATTTACTTCTTTAACTAATCATGATTGTTTTACTGATACATAGATTTTCTTTGTTTCTATACATATCTGTTCCTTAGAAGTTTATCAGAAAACCTACATCTTTTAAAAAATTAGTAATTGTTTAATAAGCTCAGCTATTCTTAGTAATTGTTTAATAAGCTCAGTTAATGATATATTCTTCGTAGCTCAGGTCACCGCCACACAGAAGTTCGAAGAAAGAAGTCATGGAGGGACACTTTTCTAATTGAAAGGGGGTAAGTCACTGGGGAACATATATTGATTACAAAGGTTCTTGAATTTCATTCTTGATTCATGTTATATTGCATTAAATCGTAGTAAAATTAACTCCCATTAATTCAGATTCATAGGTACTATCAAATCTATTTTAATTATTTGAAGTATTCTTGAAATTATTTATGAACGACTGAGATTTTGAGATGTCAGCTTTTGTTCAGCTTAATCAAGTTTCAAATTGTACAATTTATAATTAAATGTATTTTAACTATCTCAAAAATATAAAGAAATTATATGCTTTTGTGTTAATTTGTGTATTTCTGTATTAAGATGATCTAAATATAAGGCTGAAAAATCTAACAATCATAATGAAAATCTAACCTATAATTTTATCTACTGTTTAAAATAAAATCATAGCCTTTTGTTATTTGACTTCTGACAAGCATAAAAATTCTAAAACTGTTGGACCTCTATATAACAACTGACTGTTTTATGACTTAGAAGAAATTTGGTGTACTTAAAAGTATGATTCATTTTAAAAAATGAACTGCAAGTAGCAAAATCTATTCTATATTTAATGAAGGCTATTTTGAAAATCCTGCTATATTTTGCCATGACATTTGGCCACACTGAATTTCGGCAAAGCAATAGGTAGCTCAAAAAATTCAAGAAAAGGCAGGAGTTCGCTGCAGATGTAATATGTAGTTAAAGTAAAGGTAAATTATTTGGTTATGTGAAACACTGGAAGAAATTTTAGAAATGTGTGAATCAAAACTCATTTTCACCAGTTTATTTTTCTGTTTAAGATAAAAATCTTTAACCATTCAGTAATGAGAAGTACTTAAAGGCAGGCATTTCAGAATAAAAGTAACTTTATTCTGAAAAAGTAAATTAACTTTATTCTATTAACTTTATTCTATTAAAAGAAACATATTTTATGCAAATATGGCCAAAAACTGAAACATATCAGAAAAAGGTAAAAATCCAAAATATGTATGAGGAATTAAGTCATTAGATATTGTGTGTAATTTCAATAAAGTGTGCTTTGATCATGTTTGGAAATTTAAGAAAAAGTGTTATAAAATTAGATAAACATATGACTGTACAAAACTGTAAAATTATTTTGTTGAAAATTGCTCTTACTCTCCAGATATCCAGTCAGAATTTTAAAATGTAAGAACTGTTTTTCCCTCCCCTTGACTATCACTGTAAATTTGGAACCAGTGAATCAGGAATAATATAAAATGTTTAAAACTGAAATAACACATGAGATTATCATCAAAGAGGATAATAATGGCAATTCAGAGCAGTCTGCCATATATATGAAAAATAAATTTACATGAATACTTATCTAATATTTTAAAAATATGCAGTTATGATGTTACTGAAACAGCAGTTTGCAGCTCTTTTATGAAAGCTACATGCCTCACCAAAAGTTATGATAATGTGGATAATGTTCCCTTGGAAAGTGATTTAAAGAAGGAGGCTGAAAACTTAGATGAAATAAAGTTATAAGATTTTTAAAAGATTTTCTTTTGTAGGTAATGATATGAAGACTTTAAATTTAAATGATCTGACTTGTTTGGACAGTATTATAGGTAGCAGCAAATATCTGAAAATGAGAAAGTGAATGAAATTGAATTTAAGATGTTTTGATAGATAAAATGCTTAACACATTTACCATATATGACAAAGTCTCCGATTTGAAAAAATGTTTTTTCACAACATAGGAAGATGTGAAACATGTTATGAAAATAAAAATTGCTTCAAGTGAACAAATCTAGATAAAATTAATAGCTTTGCTCTTATAAATTAAATGTATTGCATTTTGTTGGAATGGGTGCACATGTATATGTATTCATTTTCTGTATTAAAATTTAATATGTACTATAATAAATACCTTTTTACTTCCTTGTACGAAGTAAAAAGGAAGTACAGTCAAAAGTCGTTAATCCGGACTCGTCAGGACTTCGGCAATTCCGGATTATCGATTTTTCCGGATTATAGATCATCAGTTTAAATGTCGTAAGATGGCATGCAGAAATTCTAAAATTAAAAATATGAAACCGTAATTTATGAAATAAATTATGATCCAAAGGGTATCAATATTTATGATTCAAAGGGTATCAAAATTAAAAAAAAAAAAAAGCTTAATATTTATTTGTTTACTTTATTAAACATTTCTTTCAACGTGCGCATACATAAAGCATACATTACGCATAGTCGAAATTAGAAAATTGCAACCAGAAAACTATTTGATGTGTATTCGTGATATTTATAATGATGAGGAATTTGATTTAAATCATATCAAAGACGGAGTACAACGAGATGAAATACTACATTTAGTATGGAATTATAAGCCGAATAAAATAAAAATATCTTCCCTGAAGATACGGATAGTGCTGACAGATCAACTTCCAGTTCATTGCACGCTGCGACCCCTCTCCCTCCCCAGAGCAGCGTGAAATTGATAAACAGATTTCGGAATGATTAGAGAAACAAATCACCTCTCTGTCATTTTCTTCATACCTTTATCCATTTTTTGCAGCTATTCCACTTTTTGTTTGATGGACATCGAAACATACTTTCATTTTGTAGATTCTTTGGGAGCTCCAGCATCGGAAATTCTATTTGACATAATCAAAAGTTCAAGCTTACTTTTATAAAATTGCTCTTACAGTCTGCAAAAAATAATAAGCCAGATCCAATTTGAAGATTAAGGAACAAAGCAATCATCAACATTAACTGAAATAGATAATTAGATAATTTTAGCTTATACGTCCGTTATACATTAAACACGCATGCGAAAACGTATTGCGCACACGCATATGCGGAGTCGTAAAGGTCTTGCACGCGTAAATTGTGCATTTTTTGCTTTAAAAATGATTGAACTATGTTGTCCTTACCTTCCGGTTAAGGTTTTTATGCCTTTAGTAAATCTGCATGGAATATTTTTAGAGTTATCAACAATTTAAAAGTTGTTTAAGTGTGTCTAAGCGTAATCATTCTTGCGATGGCGGGCATGTTTGTTTACATTTGAAATTTGGCAGAATGGCAGATTTGTTGCTAAGCTAGAGAAACTAATCTTTGCAACAACAAAGATAGTGCCTTCTTTTATTATTGCGAATTAAATCACGCTTAATCCATTCTGGAATTTATTCGAGGAAATATGTGTTTAAGATTTGCGTCGTAATTTTTAATATAGATATTTTAAGTTTTTATGTATTTTTGCCTTGTCGGGAAGGGAGAACTGAATTAATTGAATGAAAAAAACTGTTTCTTTTTTGTTTTGTTTACTTAATTCCTTTTATGCATCATTTTAGATTTATTATAGTATTTAAATAGAACATGTGGCAACGATTAGATAATTCTTCAAATGATATAAATTTTTTCCCTTTTTGAGTTATACTATGAGAAATGTAACGCTGAAAGGTAAACTATGGTTATATTGTTTACCAGTGTTATTTATTAGAAAAATTTATTTTTATCTTGATATTTTTGGGGGGTGCTGAACACATTAACTCGATTTTCATTATTTTCAATAAGTTTGTTTTTAGATACGAGAAATTCTCTATACGAGCTCAATGCTGGAACGAATTAAACTCGTATCTCGAGGTTCCACTGTATATAAATATGATGACTGTAAGAACATTTTGATTTATTAAATATGTACTTAAATTTCTATGTCTTTCAAATAATGAATTATTGTTTCAAAAAGGATTTATTATTATTTTTCCACGTGATTTAAAAATGCTTTAACTTCAAAATAACTTCTATCACAGTGTGGTGCACAGCCAGAGGAAGAATGCAAAAAATTTGTATCCTAGTATTTCCCCCATCTTTCCCAGGCTTACAAAAGACCAGCGATTAGCAGTTGAGTGCAGGAAACCTCACTACTCTTCACCTTGTAAATCAAATCAGGTAATTATTTGTACATTATATTAGCATGATGCTATCTCGGAAACAGATGAAATATGTCTTAAATCAGAAGGTCTGTCTAAAAAATATATTGTTAAGAGTTATATTGCTCAGCATTCTATGCATCAAGAGCTTAGAATTCTGAATAGTAATTTTATGTACATTCTTATCCACCTAAGATCATTTTCTTTTCATTCAATCTTAATGAAAAATATATGTTTCCTAAATTTTTTAAACTAGAAGTCTTTTTAAAATGAGTTGGAAATGTGTACAAATATTTTTCATTAGTATTTAAAGAATTGTCAAATAGTGGCCGAAATTAAAATTATTGTTCTTTGGTAATTTGACTAGGCTTGAATAGTGGCTGCATAGCCATTTTTTTTATTTGCTGTATGTGTAAAATTAATACAAAATAGTTTCATTAAAGAATTCCTCCATGAAAGCAACCCTCCTCTTAAGCAGTTTGGTCTTTATTCTCAGATTGTGAAAGAATTTAAAGAAATCATTCTAGCCTTTTGGGTAATAGATATTGTTATAATATATCTAATCACCCATTCTTATCATTCACATTTGAAGTCAGCGATTCTCAAATCATATGGATTGAAGATACAGAGAGAGATGGTGATCCCTAGTTCCAGATGATTTTGATGCTTAGTGGTGTGATGGTGGGGAAGTTGTATGGAAGACTCTTACTTATCCATATAAGTTGAAATGCAAATTGATTTGCATTCCAGCATCTAATCTTTTTGCTATGAAGATAAGTAAATTTATTTCATTATGCACTGAATATGGGTTCTAGCTGAAGAACTAATGAAGTATATCATATAAATAATAGTTTTCAGTAGATATTTTGTAGTTGCGATTATTTTTAATTATCCTAATAATTCTCTCATTATTCATATAAATAAAGAACTGCTTATAAATTTAAATGTTGCAATGATTTTTATTCATTTTTATATCAGTGTAAATTAATATTCCCATGTAATGTTTGCATTAAAAAAAGGGACATAATGAAATTTTATTTAAAGAACCTGGGGCATATTGTAAAAAAAAAAACATGTTAAAAAATTCAGGAATTGAATAATTTGTTATATATTGTACCTTGCACTAGATAGATAGGTAAGATACTGCTAAAAATTACCTGTGCTAACTAGTCTAAATTTTACTTTACAAAATAATCACAGTAATGCCTATATTTATGAGTAATACATTCCAAGGTTTACTACCTTGGAACCATGGTTAACGTGAAACCATGGTTAACCGCAAATGTTACTTTATAAAATCGGACATTCTTATAATATATAGAAATGTGATCAAGTTTACTTGATGAATTACATATAATATGTATTATTATTATTGCCAGCATATAATCAAGTGTGCTTTACACTATGTTACATTACATACTGTACTATTAAGCAAAAATAATATTATAAAGTGCACTTTACAGTATAGTATACTTTTTCTTGTATGTGTAAAAGTGAGTAATATATTTCAGTCTTATCTGCATAAGGTAAATGAAAAATGAAGAAATTTATTTTCTTAATAATATAAATAAAAGCTCCCTCCCAGTGAAGCTATAAAATAAGTAATATAATTAATGTAGTATAATCAAAATATGTACAATTATTGATGCACTATAGAGACAAATTTTAATGAAGAAATGTGGTTATAAAACTAAAGATGAGTCAAATATTACTTTCTTATCCTTCTTGATTTATATTTACAGTTATGGAAGAAGGTATTGAAGACAGCACACTAATTAGAGAGTGACTTGATAAGCTAAAACATGTATAAAGATCTATAATAATCATTTTCACACACCATATTTCTTACACCAGTCTTAAAAAATTGGTGATGCCCGTGCTTGTGTTTATTGTCAAAATGTGGCAAACATTGGAGATTTTCATGTGGCAAACATTGGAGATTTTCGAGTTACTGTTTTTGAGTATTTCACTGTGTTACTGCTTATTGTCACTTGCTATAAAATTAAAAAAAGAGGGGCACAACTATATATTAAAAACATTTCTGCCCTTAATTTAGTATAATATTAGCACTAGGTCTTCTAAATATTAATTTTTTGTATGGCCCTTCCTTAAGCCTAGTGTCTCGACATTATGCTCACTACTTTGTACTTGAAAAAAATGTGTAACAATTCACAGAATCAGACTGGGTCACAAATAATAATAAACAGAGGTTATTTTCAATGTAACATTTATTTATAAACACTAAAAATAAACTACTTTGCACTAGAAGCAAAATATGATATCACAGTTTGAATATGTAATAAAACACTGCTACCATCTATTGCAAACTTAAAATAAATAATCATATATTTAACAGTATTTTTTTTCATTGTTGAAATTGCATTAATTTTTCTGGCTGTAAATTCAGATATTTTAGTCATTTGAGAAAACCTTTCAGAAACTGTGCAGGGGAAATTATCGAAATGCTGCATTTATGCTTTAGATTCAGAGGAATGAACTCCATAATGTTGTATTGGATTTGAAGAGTTTTGGGTTTTATTTTCTATCTGTCTGACATTAGAAGGGAATTTTTGACAAATGTTTATTAAGTTTTAATCCATTCATACACATGAACTTGAAATATAAATAAATATAATAAATGAAGAAATATAATAAACTTTAATGAAATGTTTAACAAACTTTTATGAGAGAGAATGAGAATAAGAACAAAAGCAAATTAAAAATAAGGTATGCTGTTAGAAGAATATGTGCATTTGGAATCAGCCGTATATAATCCCTACAATGATAATGACTTACAAACAATCAGTAATTTTTGTATAGGTAGGAAATGTTGCTAATAATGAAGGATGGCAGGGAGTAACATCTCTGTAAAGATAACCAACATGAAACAGTGTTTTAAGGATAACTAACTGTAAGTGTTATATGGTTCATCTAAAAAATAGATTTAAATCTATTAGAAGCCCCCCTTTTTTTGTAGAGAGAATGTTTAAAAAGCAGGACTTTTGGAACAAATTAGGGATATTAGAACTTTTTATCAAAAGACATGTCTATATATTTATTTTTGATCTGCAAATATAACAAATATTTTTTGTTGAAATGTTTCCCGTTAAAGCTAGCTTCCTCCTTGAGATGAATAGTGTGTGTGTGTGTGTGTGAGTATGGCAAAGCCCTCGAGGGCTGTCTGCCTAAGAGGAGGGATGCCTTCGTGGAGGACTTTCTAAGGGAAACTGGCTCGTATACACGTTACACATGGGGAAAACCACGAAAACGCCCATGCAGCCAGCCCGTTCGCGGGATTCGAACCTCGAACCGAACTACCAGTGTTCAGCGTCTTTACCGCTCGGCCGCTGGTGGGCTTGAGATGAATAGACCTGTGCTTTATCATTATCAGTCATGTGTTTTTACTTAAATATTTCAATTCAGTTTATTACATAAAATTATTTTATTATTTAAATTCCTGTACAGAGAAAAATGATGCACTTTTTCCAGGTACTTAGTATGATTTTTGCTAATGATGGCTATAGAAATCATTTTTGGAGCAGTAAAATAAAGAGCGTAGAAATTTCTGCTTAATAAGTAATCACTTATGTTGAAATCAAAACTTAATGAACTATTTAATTATACCATAACTCTTTTAACTCAAGGTAAATTGGATTTTTTTGCTGACTTAAAAAAAAAAAAAATTCTTTAGAATTACTGTTAGAAAATGCTTAGTGTACAATTTCAAATATAAAATTAAATTAAAATTTTGTTTGTTCAAAAGCATATTGCTGAAAATACTGTAGATGTGTCACAGTGAAATGAGATTATACCAGGGATGATGTATATGGTTAAATTAAGATTATATAACGACAGCTAAAAAAAAGTCAGAATGATAAATAACCTATATTATAATAAACATGAAACACTATTAAAAATTTACCTGTATTTTTAAGCAGTTTAATTTGGAAAACAAGCTCATTTCAGGGCCAGAATGAGACCTTTTAGAGGCCCTAAGCACTCAAGATTTTGGTTGTCCCTCATGCATTTAGAGATAATGCCTGTCCTTTGCCCCATTCCTTCACTCTGGTGTTGAGTTAGCTGTGCATACATTCCATTGTAAAATTGACAATGAGAAATTTTTGTTGTGACCCCTTTGCTAAGTCCCAAAATACCTTTTTGTGATCCCCCTTTTTCTTTCCTAAGCACATACTTATTTTGCTTAATGGTTAATCCATCTGTGGTTCATTTGGTGATATAAATTAAATCAACATTCTAAACAAGAATATACTTAAACAAAAAGAACAGTATTTTTGGATATATTACTCGTGGCAAGATAATAGTCAGTGGGAAACAGAAGATTAATATCCATACACTTAATTTGCTTTTTTAATTTAGCAATTTATTTTGGACAGATGATTTGACATTGTTCTTATATTTTTGACAATGTAATGTTAAATTACGTATTGTTGTAGATGAATACAATTCTAAATACTGTGACATATCTGCTACATTTGCTATCTCAGGTGTTAATCTCACACATTTTCTCCTCCTTTTTGTATTGCTTGTTCTGATTTGCTCTTTTGCTTTGTTCCAATGGTTTAAGAAAGTAATTTCACCATTGTTCTGCAATAAACAAACTTAATGTTTTTTAAACAAGACCTGTAGGAACTGACTGCAGTATTATTAGTAATAGTTTGTGACTACATACAGCTCATTTAGATTTAACATACAGCTGTTAACATGATTAAACATGATTAACATGATTAAAGCAGCAAGAATCTTGTAAAATCCTTTTTATCTTAGTCCATACAACCCAAATGCTATTTAAGGTAGCTAAAGTTATCCATTTTTATATTACCCCCTCCATCTATTGCATTTCTGGAGCCCATATGATTCTTTCACGCACAGACTAATATTTAAAAAAATATATACAGTCAAAAGTCTTTAATCCGGACTCATTGGGACTTCGGCGATTCCAGATTATTGGTTTTTCCGGATTATAGTTTAAATCTGGTAAGATGGCATGCGGAAATTATAAAATTTACAATATGAAACCGTAATTTATGAAATAAAGAGCAATTATGATCTAAAGGGTATCAAAATTTACAAAAAAAAGCTTAATATTTATTTGTTTACTTTATTAAACATTTCTTTCAACCGCGCATGCGTAAAGCATACATTACACATAGTCGAAATTAGAAAATTTCAACCAGAAAATTATTTGATGTGTATTCGCGATATTTATAATGACGAGGAATTTTATTTAAATCATATCAAAGACGGAGTACATGATAAATGAAATACTACATTTAGTAAGGAATTATAAGCCGAATAAAATAAAAACATCTGCCCTGAAGATAAGGATAGTGCTGACAGATCAACTTCCAGCTCATTGCCCGCCGCAACATCCCCCCCCCCCCCCGCAGAGTAGTGTGAAATTGATAAACAGATTTCAGAATGGTTAGAGAAACAAGGATATGCCTTTATCCATTTTTTGCAGCAATTCCACTTTTTGTTTAATGGACTTCGAACATACTTTTGCTTTGTAGATCCTTTGGCAGCTCCAGAATCGGAAATTCTTTTTGACATAATCGAAAGTTCAAGCTTACTTTTATAAAATTTCTCTAACAGTCTGCAAAAAATAATAAACTGGATCTAATTAGAAGATTAAAGAACAACACAATCTGCAACATTAACTGAAATAGATAATAAGATAATTTTAGTTAGCTTATGCCATCAGTTATACATTAAATGCGCATGCGTAAATGTATATGTGCATGCGTAAAGGTATTATGCGCATGCGTACACGCATATGTGCATGCATAAATGCCACAGAAAGTTTGTAGCTTTGAGGTCCGGATTATGGACGTCCGGATTACAGATCATTCTGGATTATGGACGTCCGGACCAAAGACTTTTGACTGTATTAAGTTTGTGAGCAATTTATTTCTGAACTTTTCTGCTAAAAATCTTTATTTGCTTAGTGTTATCTCGGCATCTGATATTTAGACTATTTAAGAACTTTTTTCTTGAAAATATGAGTGATTCCCTTATTGAATTTTATTACAATTTGCACAGTCTGTCAAGACAGAAGAGTATAGTAGTCTATTAATGTGTTTAAAAGGTACTCTTGATAATTTTAAATCTTATTATATTTCTAGAAATGGGAATGCATTCATGATGGATATAGATGGAGAATACAGAAATGCCGATTATATATGCCAGGACCTCAGAATTGCTTGTGTCCCGATAAAGGAACTGACTTTTTTGACTGGGATTTTGAAGAGCTTCATAAAAGACCAGATAGAGTAGCCAAAATTTCCCACAAAAAACGTAAACATGCCAATAAAGATGATGATGAATTTCAGCACTTCCCCTCTTCTAAAGGTTTGCATTACTGAATTATATAACTTTTTAATGCTAACATTTAACTACGTTTGTCTTATGTAGTTGCATTATGATAATATAATTATGCTTTATTTTTAAATTGTAGAAGACATTAAATGTGATTCTCAGGAACATTATAAACTAATATTTCTTCTTTAGACATCAAGGTGTTCTTAAAATATTTAGTGTTTGTTTGTGGTCCAATCTTTCATAATTTATTTTGAAAAAGATCCAATGCTGAATTGCATAAAATGATATTTTAGTTTTACTGTGCTGTAATATTTAGTAGATTTGATGCCCTTCTAAAAATAATAAATTTAATTTCTTCATATACAAACAAAATCACAAACTAAGGGAATATCATAACCTATTCTTTAAATAAATTGAATATTAATAAACATTATATCTACCTGCTTGTGTACTTGTTACAAATGCAATTTTTAACTTCTTGGAAAAACATTTTAGGATTTCTTTCCTGATCTTTTCAATAATGTAACATACGGAATAAATGTAATATCTGAAAGTGTAAAATGATTATAATTTACAAAGAGATTCTGAGGAAAGGTTGTTGATTCCAAGTATTCCTCTTATTCCTTTTATAACTTCTGAAAGGTCTTGGAGAATTTAAGATTCAAATTGCTAGTATGGTATTTTTGCTCTGAAGGATCATTTTTGCTTTCTGAAACATTTGTCATAAAATTTTTTGGAAGCTTCTTAATATAGTAGCATAGTAATATTCAAAGTATATTTCTGAGTGAATTGTTAGCTGAAAGTTTTGTTTACTCCAAAACCAGTTTCCCAAACCAGTCATAAAACTGGTTTGAGAAAAATTTGTGATGTCTTTTCTATACAGCTGATTTTCCTAATTTTATTATTTGTTATAATATTGAGAAAAATTTTGTTATTTTTAATAATGTAATATTGAAATAGTTGCAAAGAATTATTTTTATGCTGTGCTGATGATCGCTTATTTGGCTCATTTTCCAGTGTTGGGAAAATATGCCATATCTTTAATCTCAGGATGTTATGTTCTAAACTTTGTACATTGTGATATTAATTATATTATTTATCAACTTTCTTCATTTTTTTTCCTTTCAGAATTTTAGACTCTTCTTGAATTGCTATTAGTTTGTAGCTTCATTTACATACTCATTAGCTTGATCCATAATACTTGTGATATACTTGATGATACTTGTATATCTTGATAAATACTACTAATTTAATAGAATTTCATATAATCCTGCTGGACTTAGGAAATTAGTATGAAATTCTGTAAATATAAATATGCATAATAGTTGCCATGAAAGTTATGAGAAACAGAAAAAACTGTAATAAAATTATTATATACATATTGTAACTGCTAGTGAAAACTTATGCTAATTTTATGTAGGACTAGAATCAAGAAAGTCTTCTGTAAGCTCTCGTATGAAAAGAGTTGTTGAAGGTGATGAACCATTTGATGTTGAGGGTATAGAACAGTTGTATCATCTTTTGGATGCCAGTGTAGGAAACAGAACAGAGGTAAAATATTTTTCTTATTTTTAATATCAGTTCTTTAATAAATCACTTTTTTGTTTTATTGATAATATTTATATCAACAATTGGCCAAAATAAAAAAGCCATTTTCTTTTTTAATGTATGCCATGCCATTTACTAATGTGCATTCCTAATCCTGAAATTAGTGGTATGTTAAGAGATGGAATAAATAACATACATAGTCAATGACATGTTGAGTAGTGCTGCTTGTTCCTTAAACTTTAGTTTTATGTTCTTTATTGCAAATTTTAAATGTGCTTTCATTTTCTTTTCAATTTATTTTTAATCTTTTGTCTCATAAAATATACCAGTGTTCAAAATGAAAGGATAATACAGTACAAAGCCCGAAACCCAGACGTTCATCATCCGGAATGATATAAAATCCAGACCTCAAAACCACCAACAATGTTTTTCTCCTAGGCTTTATGCATGTACATTTGATTCACCCCTCTGCGCATAATAAAATGTCTGGAGAGTCCCGATTCTTAATTTCATTTTGACACTAAATAAAATACCTTGTTTTTGAAGAAACAATCATTTTAGCATAAATTTGTGTAATTTGGCTCCATTGCTGCGAATCTGCTTGGCACACATCTCAAACCGAAACATTCCACGTATGTACATTGTTGATCTGACGCTAGCCTGGTGAACCATTATTTATTATACTTTCCTTTCATCACCACATGTTTATCAAAACATAACAATTTGAGTAATGACTCATGTAGCGATGCCTGAACAATTTTTTTTTTATGTTAGTAATTTAATAAAGGAGTATGGTAACCTTTTATGTTGGCATTACACTTGGCGATGATTACAGATTAAAGTTAAATGCTTTAAAATGCTTAAAATGTTAATGCTTAAAAATTGTTGATGAAGAAAAATTTATCAAAATTTTCTTTTCATATGCTAAAAATAGATTTTGTTGATAATAGACCCAAAGATTACATTTAGGGCTATTTGAATTAAGAATAAAAACTAAAAAACTCTGGCGTAACAGCCCTAGTGGGCCAATGCCTGCAGTGCCCCGAAATCTGCTTTCTTGGTTGTGGGCCCCAGGTTGCGTAAGCATATGCCTGAACAAGTAGTCAGGTTGTCGCAGGATCCCCAGTGTTTAGTTCCCAAGCGAACTTGGTACTCATTTTATCGACCCAAAGGATAGAAATCAAGGGATGAAAGGCTGAGTTGACCTTGCCCAGACCGGGGATTGAACCCCGGACCTGGGGTGCTGCTGTGCGATAAGCTAGCCATTGCGCCACTGGGCCTCTGAATTAAGAATAACTGATTTGTTATTCACATAAACCCAGAACCAGCACCAGTGCTCGTATGTCTGCACCGAATCGCAGAATTTAAGACCTACAGAAACTGCATCAGGCGGTAAGATATCTAGTGCCGGCCCTCAATAAGGCTTAAGTATATGTGGGAATTTATTTATTCAGAACTATGATAAGCCTTAAGCATGTGCAAGAAATAGACATCAGTATAATAAATAACTAATACAATTCAGGCTTAATTGTCTCAGTGCACGATAGAAGCGAGATAAAATTTAATGGAACAACTTGTCATTTGTCGACAAGCTCATGATGCATTGCCAAATATGTATAGTGAAGGATAGTTAAATTTGATGATGATAGCCATGAATTTTAAAGGTTTTCAGATATCGTAAAACAAAGGTGAAATTTTCCAGTTAATGGATTTTGTAAGGAAATGTGGAGAAGTGGTAATAAATGAAGATGATATAAAATAAATTTTTCCATTGTGATGGCAATCATCAATTAATTAATGAATGGCAAAATCTGTAGTATGGTTCTCGATTCAGAAAATGCCACTACCAATAGTTAAGAAAGTGACAGAGAAGTTACTGAAAATGAGAATATTCAGTTGAAAGTTAGTCGAAACTTCGAAAAGCAGTTAGGACTTCACAATGTAAAACAAGATTATGTCTGTCTAGAATTAAAGAGAAAGTTTAGCACAAAAATGAATCAACTTAAACAACTTATGTTGAAAGAAATATTTAATAAGGTTAACAAATAAATATTAAGCTTTTTTTTTTTTTTTGTAAATTTTGATACCCTTTACATCATAAATACTTCATTATTTCATAAATCACGATTTCATATTTTTAATTTTATAATTTCTACATGCCATCTTACTAGATTTTAAACTGATGAGCTAATATCCGGAAAAATCCCAAATCCGGAATCGCCGAAGTCCTGAAGAGTCCAGATTTCTGACTTTGTACTGTAATAAAAGTGATATTAAATTGAACAAAGGCTGAATCTAATTATTTATCATTGTTATATGTGCAAAAATGCAGAATATGGAAATAAGGTGAATACAAGCAAATCATAAAACCAAACATGTTCAGCACTGTGCACCTATGCTGGTTAAATAAAAAGTCTGAGGTTGGTCAGAGTTGATGCAAGACAAGTGAAACATAGTTGGATGTCTCCAAAAAACTGAATATTATGTACAGCAGCATTTCTGAACCTATGGTCTTTGAAGCCTGTTCTTTTAGTGCCTTTATATCCCTCCCCAAAGGCAAAATAGGAAATTCAAATTAACTGCATATAGATGAAAATTAATTGCACTATAGATGAAAATCTCGGAGTTTAAAATTACACATGGCAATCATCTAGTACTTCTCCATAGACTGACATTTTATGAAATTTGTTACTAGGTACTCTGCCTACAGACTTCCTGTCTCAGCAATAAAACAGAAAGTTAAAGCAATATGATTGTGGTGGCACTTAGCATATATTCAACATATAGAACAGCTATGCAAGAACTGACAGACTCATCCGTCTCATTAATCTGAGTAAGATAAAGATTATCCCAACTCTAGAATTTAATTATTAAAAGCAAATATAAATTTTCTTCTAGTAACTTAATTACTTAATACCTATTTAAAATTAAATCAATTGTAATGAATTATAATTTAAAAATATAAGTGTATTAGTAGTAATATATGCTAAAATAATTTACTTTGAAAAGGTAAGAGTGAGATGGCCAGCAGAATATTCTAATTTATAAATATGTTTCCTGCTTGAAAAAAATTTGAGAAATGCTGTTCTAAAGCATAACTGCAACAATCTATAATTGTATCACAGCAAATATTATTTACTGTTGAAAATAATAGCATATACTTGAATGAGTGAGACATAGAAATCTTCAAAGACAGTGACTCCATATAGAGCAGAAGCATACTTGTTATCATTTTTGAGCTCTTACAGAATATCGGTGCTATATATATTGTTGATATGTAAGAGCATTATGTTTATCTTGCAATTAGGTTGAATTCTTATATGATAAGTAAGTCAATTTAACTGTGCAATTGGTTAAACTAACTACCAATACCAACTAACTACCAACCATTTGGTTTGGTAGTTAGTTATGCAGGCTTCAGATTGTTGGACCTGGTTTCAAATCTGAGAGAGAGCATGGATGTTTGTAATTGTTTATCTACTTCTTAATCTTATCTTCTGAGTCTAATATTAGTTGCCTCCCACCATATACATCCTGGGCAGTGTTCTTGGTTGGTAAGTTGTTGTTAAGTTGGCTGAATAAGAGATGGGTTCAACCATTCCCTATGAATACTTAATGAGCCAGTATCCAGTGATTTGAGGGGATGGGACTTTGCTTACTGTTGCACCTGACTCCCCAACTGACATCCTAACTATGACACGCATTATTTAATGCAAATGCTAATTGCCATTCCATTATATTGCAAAATGCAAGCACTAAAAACTATAAGTTTCTTTATATAGTTCATATTTAAAAAAAATATCTGATGTGTGCACCACATGACTTCTTTGTATGGAATATTAAATTATATGCATTTTTTCTTCCATTTCATTTAAACGTATTGGATTGAATTAAATCTACTCCATCAATAGCACATAAACCACAATAGAATAAATGCACTCTTTAAAAATCACTATACTCTTTAAACACACTAAATAACACCTGGGACCTGCTATGCTCACTTAACAGCGGCTCGTTTCAATAATTTTTTAACTCAGGAATGCACAAAATTTATCATCTTAAGATATCTAATCATTGCCACCTTTCTATCAAATACTTAATAAATCTAACCGATGTATAAAAGAATTAAGCAAAGAACAACAACAAAAGCAAAGAAAAAAAAGAAATAAGAAAAGAACAGTTTTTCAGATGATCAGATTCTCAATCAATAATTCAGTTCTCACTTCAGACAGCAAAAAACATAAAAACTCAAATGTCTGTATATATAACATTAAAGTAAATCTTAATACTTTTTTCCTTGATAATCCAGAATGAATTAAGGCAGGATTAAATGCGCCATAATAAAAGAGGTTATCTGTTATGCGAAGCGTACTTTCTCTAGATTGGCACAAATCTACTATTATTGTTTCAAGTATAAAGCAATGGCCGACTGGCAAAAATCATAGGCTTAGTGGCATTTAAACAACTTTAAATGTTGATAATTCTAAAATATTGGTAATAAATATTTACAAAGCATAAAAACCTAACAAGAAGATAAGAACAGCATAATTCGATCAATTTTAAAGCAAAAAATGCACAATTTACAAACATATAAGAATAAAGAAACTTAGCTCACTGAGCCAAGTAAGACAGCGGATATATGTATACATATATTCATATACTTTTCGTGCGGCCGATTGCAACCAAAATACGAGGTGAACATCCATATGTTATAGCAGTCCTACAAGCAAAATTTCAATGCTCTGAGACTACTCGTTTTTGAGTTATGCGAGATACGTACGTATGCACAGACGCCACAAAAAATTCCCTTCAGAATTCATTTTAAATTAGTTTTACAATTTTGTGGGGGGAAAGAGTACTTTATTCTGTCCTTATGAACAGATGTCAAGCAAAAACATTGTTAAATTGCATTCGATAGCAGTGAAAATGGATATTTGCATTGAAATATGATGCCTGAAACTCATCGCTATTACAATACTTCCTTTTTACTTCTTACAAGGAAATAAAAATGGAACTATTAACATAAAATGTTATTTTGTGTTGAATGAAATGCATGCTTTTTAAAGCCTTTAATGTTTATTATAATATCTTACTTGCATTAATGTTTAGTTTCATGATTCTTTGATAAATCTTGTTAGATATGATCAAAAGCAGAATGAAGGAAAGAAAGACAGTGAATAAAGAATATCTACATCTATCAGGAAATTTTCTGCAGAATTATTTGTGCAGTCTTTTCCACAGTCATCTGCAGAATAATTAATTGTACCTTTAAATAAGTTTCACAAAAACTTGAAAAGTTTATTTAAACTGCCAGCAAGTAGGCATATTAAAAGACATTACTGAGTTTGCTCACATTTTAAAATGAAAAAGGTCATTTGCCTAGATTTTCCCAAATATTGAACAAAAATAAATTATAAAAATTTCATATTTTAAAAACAAGAAATGTGATCATTTTAAAATGCATTTTGATAATGAATGGAAACTCAGAAATGTACTTAAAATTATAATTTAAGTAATGCTTTTTTGGGGAGGGTCATCTATTGGTAGGCATTTAGTCGACTTAGGCTTGGCTACTACTAAGAAGTTGTGGTGGCCACATTATTATAGAAGCACCTAATAGGTGAGCCACTGTTACCTCCTATAAAGGAACGGACAATTACAGCCATGCCATCTTCAGGATTCGAACCCAGACCCTTCGGTATCACATTAGGCTCCCATAACCACTATACCATCTGGACAACATAATGCATAAATATAGCCTGTTATAAATGAAATAATCTCAATTGTTCAATGTAACATGAAAACTCAGTTATATACAAAAGTATTTAATGGAAAAGATTCAGTCGCTAAATATCATTTGAAAAACTTAACAAGTGAAAGCAGTGTATAAATAACGTAGATTACAATTTGAGAATAATTTACCATTATATTTATTTTACTTAAATTGATTCATCTGATGGCAGACTCATTACAGCTACCCTAAAAAGTTACTTTTCTGAAAGTTTTTCAATAATTCTCAGGATAAAATCCATTTCCCAAATAAAACAAATGAAGCTGAGAAGTTTTCTGACAAAGTGAATAAAACAGCAGTAAGTATCAAAATATTATACATTGGCTTCTAAGCAGGCCTTACATATCATTTAGTCAGCATTATGGCAGTCATTTTTTTAAAAAGTCCACATACATAAATTAATAAACCTATTTAAATAGCTTCTTTTCCAAGAAATTCATTTAGCTTAACAGAATATGTATGATCTCTTCCTTTGATATCCATCACAATATAATTTCTTTTCTATAGTATCATTTCATTCACTTAGGACTGAATATTAAAATCGTCGAACACTGGCATCTCAATACAGGTTCAAATCTTGATGAATAGGGCTGGTTATAGACTAGAATAGGTCTTTCTATTTATGCTGGTTATGTTACAGTTATTGTGGTTTTCCTCGTGTGTAATGTAAATACAAGCGAGTTTCTCTTAAAACATCATTCATGAAGGCAGTCTTTTTCTTACTCAAATAATCCTTATATGCCTTGGTGTAATCAATAATCCTATCCTATTTATAGTATCATTTTAACCTTTCGAACATTATGGGTTTCGCTCTGAAATTTCAAAGTTTTTCAGAATGTCATGAATAAATGCTATTTTCTTAATTATAATTAAAAGTAACTCTTTCACTTTGTACCTGAATTCCTTTTCTTCCAATATACATCCAATCCAAAATTGGATACATTAAAAGCTACAGAAATTTTCATTTGTAATGAATACGAAAGCCACTTTTCCATAAAGAATTTTTTGTCCTTATTGCTAAGAGGATTAATATAATTGCATATAATGTAGCTAATGTGGTTGTAATTTAATTATCAAATATGTTCATAAGTGATACATGTAATAATAATACTGAAAAAGGTCTTTCTATTTATGCATGAAATGATAAAGTAAGTTTTTAATTGCAGTTATTAGGTGTATCTTTCATTGGGCAAAAATATAATTTTTATTCAGTGTATCTATTTTAAACACTTCAAAATTTTCCCTGAGAGAGATTTGTTGATTAGAAAATTGTCATCAGCCATTACCAAGATTACACTTTTGTCGAAGTTAAATGTGGCCTGAATCATTAACCCCGAGAGACCCTCGTCATTAATTCCCCTAGAATGCAAAACCCAGAAAAAATGAAGATAGCTGATTGATGTCTAGATTGGTCATGTAATCTCCTCAGTGAGGGTTTCATGAAATTGTTAACAAAGATTGAAAATAGGAATGCACTTCTGCGCCCTTTCAGCTCATATGCACTGGAACTACTCCACATTTAAGAGCATGCTTTTAGATCATCTTCGTTAATTTTCAGTAAGAGACCAAGGAAAACAAAAGAAATTTTTCTCCTGAGTAGATAGACGAATAGGTGATTTTCTAAGTAGGTCTTGAACAACTGGTGAAAGAAGGGAAGAAATATTTCTAAGGAAAGTTTTAGATGAAAATACATTATCTATGAAGGGAAAAAAGAAGCAAATATTTGAATTTTGTAAGATGGTGGAGTGATTAATAATCTAGTCTTTGGCATTTCTGAGTTTCCCCTAATTTTCAGTCATCTAACTATCTTTTGATTTCATTTATGTTGCATAATCGAGCCTGTATTGTAATTATCAGGTAATACAAAAATAATTTATAATATTTTATTCAAGACATAAAAGTTTGAAGAAAAGCATCAATGTCGTTTCCTTTTTTTGCAAATATCCTCTGTCCCAATTCATTGTTCATAATATGAGAAACTTGTCAATAAAGTGTTTTTAATAGTATTCCCTTTGCAACAATATATTTAGCTTGTTTTCAAATTTATAGGCTTATTTTTTATTATATTTTTAAAAATATAGCAAAAGCGAAGTAATTTTCTCACGAAGAACTTACTACATATGTCTTGATTTAAAATTACTCCAGTACACTGTAAGAAAACTATAGTAAGCAATCAGTAGCTGACTGAAGCATTTTTGCTTACAGGCTCATAAACTGAGGGTCATAATACCTGTACTTAAAGGCAATTTTTGGCAGCACAGACACATTCAATTTTGGACATATTTAATTATTTTACATCTTTCTACTTATGTTCCCTTTTCTATATTGCATATTTCCCTTTTCTGCTTATGTAAACTTTTACTTCTGTTCTTTTAATTTCAGTGCAATTTACATTATTATTAGAATTTTTTCTATTGTTGTTAAACAAGTCGTAAAATGGAAAACCATATAAATTAATTTTCATTTTGAATAATACCTTAACATCAAGTGTTTAATATTTCAAGCCATAAGTTATGTAATTAAAGTTTTTTTTATATATTTTAGGTAAAAAATTCAACAATGGAAAGTTCTGATGAACCTATAATTGATATAGGGGATGATGATCTGAGTTTTTTTACAGAATCTTCTCTTTTTGAAGAGAGAGAGAAACGAGAAACTCCAGCCAGTTTTCAATTAGGCATCACAAATGAATGTATACTTTTTGCAAATGGTAGCAGAATTTGTTTTGATGATAAGTATTCAAATCCGATCGAATGGCATGAGAAAAAAGAAAGAGTAGATCATATGATTAAGAAAGTGAGACAGAAATTGGAACATCTCAAAGTAAGTTCAATAAAAAATAGAATTCAGTATGCTGGCAAACAGTTGCTAAAAATTTATTTTCAGTTATACGTGAGTTATATGTGATACTGAATGGAATGAAAAACAAATTTCAAGGAAATAATTACAGTAGTAGGCAAAAAATTTTGCACATTTGGCCATTTTGAAAAAAAAATTAAAAGTCATTAGTGAAAAGCTGTTATTCTGTAAACATTGATTATGCACACATATTTTAGAATAATATAAAATGCAAGTTAAAAATAATGCACGCTAAATTATAACATAACAACAGAAGACTAAATTTCATATTCATTGAAACAAAGGACCAAACTATTGGCACAATTTCAAATAAACTATACCATAATTAATATTTTCTGATTAATAATTAGATTTTAGTTGCATGTCCAAAGCTGTCAGGTATAGAAAACACTAATTTTTGAGTTATTTCAGATGAATTCCCTCCTTCCCGAATTCTTCAGGTATTTTTTTCTCAAATGATCCATGTTTACTTATGTACTCTGTCATCAAATATCTATATGCTACATGGGATTCAAATCATTAATTAGGATGGATAATGTTAAGTGGGAAATATTTGATAAAATAGCCATAGGGAGACAGTAGGAACCGTACGGTTCAGGTTATGGTCTTGCTGAAACTTAAATCTTGATCCAGATTTAGCTTCCTAAAGGTTATAATAAAGATATTCAAATATGCAGTTTTTTTCATTGTATTATCAATAACTTCTAAATCAGGTGTTCTCAACCGGGAGGAGAATTCTCTGTAGGTGTTTCAGGGATGGAATGCAGTCAGCCTTTTTTTTAGCTGTTAAACATTCAATTTTAGTTTACGAATATAAAAAACTACTTTTATTCAAGTTTTGGTATTTATCAACAGTTTTGATATTTTTTGTTGTGTAATTTATAGAACATATTAAAAATAATAAATGTAATAAATGCATAAATAATGAAGGTTATCATAAAGGTATTAAAATATAATATTTTTTCCATTGTATAATCAATAAATACTAGGTGTTTCCTATCATTAGCTAGCATACAGTACCATGTCATTATACTTTGCCTCTCTAATATGTATAGTGGCTTAATAGTTCTTATGCAACTCTGTCATGGGTTTCTTACAAACTAAATTTTTACCAATGCAACAAATTAAAGGAGTTTGTCTGAAAATTTGCTTTTGACCAAAGCTTGCTATATTCCTTCATATGTTCTTTTCAGGAAGCAAGGTTATTTGCCTCTGTCTTTTTTAAAAAAATTACCTATGTATGACTTTCTTTTAGCTATTCTTGATTTGCAGCCAGCTCAATGAAAAAAATCTGCTGCAGTGTTGAATCAACCTTCTTGTTTGGATCTCCTTATTACAGTTTTAATTTGGTAGAAGTTCTGGAATTTTTTTTTTTTTT